AATTACATACTTATGCATTTTAATCAATTTATATTTCAATTTTTCCTGAATTACACAGTTTCTAATATATTATAAATAAGTTTCATGTGAAAATATAATTGTATTTTTATTAAACTACTAATGAAAAAACTATTCAGTAACGTATTTTTGTATTTAATTTATGAGGGCGTGATACCATAGTTTTGCCCCGGGTGATACCACCTGAAGTTCCGTCATTAATAGAAGCCACGTTGGTATACACGTTGATCCATGTCACATTTGCAGCGCCTAATATGTTTTTATATGGCGCTGACTTCTTTACGGCATTCGCATGGTAATGCCTATTTTGGCGTAGGTATACCGCAAAGGAGCGCTTTTCAAGCCATAGACAGTGAAGGTAAAGACAGTGAAGCCATAGACAGTGAAGTTTGCATGCATGAGAGACGAAAAAACGATCAGTTGATTAATGCGTATTTTCGATACAGTCAGGGAATGTTAACGTATGATCAGTTGTTAATTTGGCAAGATCTGTGATTTCTCCCAATTTGTTTTAAAAATTTAACATTTAAGATGTAATTTAGCATTTAAAATAAAGAGGGGTGAAATGTTAATAATGATTAAAAATTACCTTCAAATTTATTCGAAGTATTTTTTTTTTAATTTATTTTTTGAGATAGAAACAGATATATACAGACATTTATTTTTATTGGATGTAAAGTTTTGTCAGTGAGGGAGCTAACCTAGGTATTAATGCTAATCTAAGACTAATCTTACAAATTAGCATTTACATTTGACGCTACTTATCTACATTATGTACCCTCTGTTAAATTTTTAATCTAAAATTACATTCTAACACTTCCATATTTACAAACTAAACTTATTTCGGACGCAAATTATTTACATGTACTCCGTTCACTCGATTGTTTGCCTACACCGGCATACAAGTTTGTTGCCCGTTGGGACACAATGGGTATAGGTAATGAAATATGTGTATTGAAATAGCTCACTTGTATTTCACTTCAGTAGCCCAAGATTTATGAAAGGCGATTCGTCGATACCCTTCCATTTACTTTTTTTTCTAGTTTACTATGAGTGGTTTTAGTGGAGACAGTCCACAAGCGCAGACAGCCGGAGAACCGGGAAAATAAACTCACAGCTACCCATCCCATCCGTAGAATTTAGCTCTATTTATTCAGAAAATAATGGTTTGAATAAATACCATGATGGCAGCAGAGATTGTGGTAATCCCTAATGCTTGTTAATTAAGGATCGAGGCAGTATCAACCACAAATTATATTGCAATATAAATTTAATATAAAGAATATTCAGCCATACACGTACACGTATTTCGAGACTAATTTATTCCATCTTCATCGGGGTAAAATAGATGGAGTACATCAGTAATAAAATACCCCGGTAATAAGATAAATGTAAAACAAAAGCTTCTCTCCGTTTGGCAGTTTGTTTTCTCGTATTAAATACGTCGCCATGTTCATACCACTCGTGATGAAGCGTCCGGCCAGGTCACCTGTGGTACGTGCCGTGAAGATCCAGGGGCCTGGCCAGGCAGGGCCGCGCCGCGCCGCCCGAAAGCGGGCGAAATTCGCGAGCGCAAACACGTCGTCCGCCGACGCAACTCGCAACTCGTCAGACAATCGTCGCGGCGGCGGTGGCGGAAGCTGCGCGGCCGCCGCTCATTTGCTTTGATGTTGCTGTGGCGGAGGCGGTGGTCGCGCGGGTGGAGGCGGTGGGATAGCAGTAAGGACGGAGGCGGAGTTGGCGGTGCTGGTAGTGGTAGTGGTGATGGTGATGGTGCTAGTGACGGTGAAGGTGGAAATGGCGATGGTGATGGTAGTGGTGGTGGTGATGGTAGTGGTGATGATTATGGTAGTGGTGATGATTATGGTAGTGGTGATGATTATGGTAGTGGTGATGATTATGGTAGTGGTGATGGTGATAGTAGTGGTGATGGTGATAGTAGTGGTGATGGTGATAGTAGTGGTGATGGTGGTAGTAGTGGTGATGGTGGTAGTGGTGATGATGGTGGTAGTGGTGATGATGGTGGTAGTGGTGATGGCGATGGTAGTGGTAGTGGTGATGATGGCGATAGTGACAGTGATAGTGGTATGGGCGGAGACGATAATGATGGAAATAATAATGATTGTGATGATTATGATAATATTAATGATTATAATAATATTGCTAATGACACAGGATAATTATAACGATGCTGTTGATATAGTTCAAGGTACTGAACGTGATAATGAAAGTGATCAGGCTAATTATAGTGATATCAAGAGCAAAAAAGTCGTATTATATGAGAGACAGAAAAGTTCCACTAACTCTTCAGTTGTTGCGTGGATTACTGCTGTAAACCAGTCTCATTCATTCGCTGTTAACAGCGAGAGTTGAGTAACTTTGGACATGGACTTCTCAGTACCTCTCGTAGAAGGCCCCAGTTTTTGAATTCTAGCGAAATATGACTCAAGTAATAATTGCTGCACTAGCGATAAGAGCTGGAAACAGCTTGGATTACGATAGAAATTCCCGCATCCCCTCACGGTTCAGTTCATCTAAGCAGACGTAGTAAATATCGCTGCAATCAATGCTAGTGAATGTTTGTGCAAAGAACAACAGTTGAGAAATGTTGACTAGAAGGGGATTTTTAAAGGATTTCGCTTTGTCCCCTATGTATTAGAAGTGAAAAGGAGAATTCACTGAAAAACTACTGACAGCTATAAGAATACCCGGCAGACTTCTGCTGGGAATCCGAGAAGGGATGGAGGGGACAGCGGAGTCATCAAAGTGCAACGTTGCTATCGAAGTGGACGTCAACAATAGAAGAGCACTTGACAGTATTGCGTAAATTGTGCCCAGTGAATGTAGCCAGAACACATTAAGAAAATCTGTGTGAAATGTTCATCTGATGTTGTCATTGAAATATATTTAGAATAGAAGCTCCAGATGTTTAAATAATTGTGTAAAATTACTTTATTTAATAATCGTAATGCAAAGTTTATCAAATGTTCAAAACCTACGAAGAAGAATATAAACCTATAAAGAAGAATACAATCTTCTAAAATATATTTGAGTATATTTGTTTAAAGGCATAATACTGTAATTTTGTGTTGAATTTCATAGAATTTGTAATATATTAACGTCCTAATAAATTTAATAGTATTTGGTAACTGACCACTGGAGGGTTAAATGCATATGCGCGTTTTAGTTTCAAGTGTTTAAGATGCCAATGTCGGTTGAAGGAGAGAACGTGTAACGTTCGTAAATATTCTGCGTCTTCATTCCAAACTCCCAATAATTAATTCTAACTTAACTGAAATGAAAGTTCACTAGTTCAAAGTTCTCCAGTTCTTCGTATTCTTTTCTTGTGTTTTCAGATAGTTTTAGTTAGTTACTTTACAATAGTTGCGAATGTAAATTCTTACAATGTAATTTTAATTTGTATATACCTTAGGAGATACGTTTAGACAATTAATGACTGTTTAAAAAAATTGTTAATGAAACGAATCAACATTTTTTCACGTATTATAAATACCTACTAAGGTACTTGCAGCTATCCCCATAATTTGTCATGGAGTCTTTGATACAAATAATTAAAAATTTAAAATAATTAAAAAAATGCTTTAATTTTTTTAGCCATTTGTTGTTGTGGGCAATATTTTCTATAAATTGACAAACGTCTCGTTTTACTACGCCATAATTGAAATGAAAAAAAATCACATTTTTAGGTAAAAAATATGATGTTATCAACGTGTTATTAACATTCCAAAGTACAGCAATCAATACTTTCTCGTTATAATTTATATGAAGTAACGTAAATTTGGGCTCAACGATCGCCATTTTGCACAACCTCTTTCGAGCTAACCACACTATTAAAAAACTGTTTACACAACAGCATACAGGCGCCCGACCCAAAGCAGCACGCGTTTAACATTTAATGAATTAGGAAATGCCTAAAAATAACAACCAAAATGCAAACTAGATTCCTTCACCGCGGCGCTTCACCGATAGCGCCGCGGCAATTCACACAAAATCCGCTAGATGTCAGGACAGTAGGACAGTTTTGCTCGTCAAGATAGCGGAATACGCTCGACATTGTAACCCGAGCATCTAATGCTCTGGACAGGCTACTCGACAGTTGATCGACCAGGGAAGCGACATCAACGAAGATATTTTCAAAACATTGATGTTTTAGACATGATCAAAGCAGATACACGTGTTTCTAACGATGGAGGTCCAAACAGGGGCCCCGCGTTTCGGAAAAATACGCATACCATATTTTTTGTCAGTAAAATAATTGTTAATCAAGTAGTCTACTGTGCAACAAAATGTACAATTTCAAAACATTTTTTAAAAATATTTATTACATGTTAAATTAGTCTAATATTAACTATACTTTATTTCCTTTACTTATAACTGAATATGTAAATTTTTTGTAATTATGTATGTATTTAATGTAAAAAAATGTAACACAAGTAAAAATTTCTATAAAAAATACCAGTTTTCATTTGTATCTGTACAGAAAGTACTTGCACTATAATACATTTTTTATTTAATAAAGATTGGGCTATTGTTCGGGGGTTGGGGCCAACACAATTTTGTGCTTGGGGCCCCGCACTACTTAAATCCGGCCCTGCATTTCACTAGCAGAGAAGCGATCAACGCATGTGCATGGGATGCTTACCCTTCTTCCCGAATCCCTTTACGGTGAACTGAGACAGCTCTAACCCCTTTAGATGGCTCTGTATCCTCAAGCTTTCATATTCAGTTTTTTTTGTTCTTATAGTTGTTAATCTTGTTCATTCAGTTAGACTCTAATTAAAAATTAATAAAAACACACGACCCAAGTTAAATTCTCCCCGCGTACGTAACTGTTAGGGGAAACGTAACTGTAGATATTAGAGGTTTGTAAACCACTTAAAAACATAACATGTTAATAAATGCATATATTTTTTAAATTTTCAACATCCATATTTTGAAAGACCGATGTTTTGTTCTGGATGTCACGTTCCAAAAGCGAAACTCGTTATAGCCATTGCCGGCGTCCATGAGTCAGCCCACTGCGAGCAAGCACAGGATGCTCGAGCAAACTGTGTTAGAGGCTGAAATGCTCGAGCGAGCAAATGCCACGCCTTGCAGCGCTCTATAGTAGTGTAAACAGTACTTACGGCGGTGACGAGGCGTCGATGCCAAGGGGGACTCATGAGGGAGCCAACGGCGGCGGCGACCTGCAACAGGAAGATTAATTCGTTAGTCTTGTACTCACTGTCGTCTTGTCATTGGTTGTCAACCGTCGTCTAGGAGAGTTCTTTATGCTATCCGAGGATACAGTTAAATGAAAAAAAAGTAAATGCCATTTCTGACAAAAGTTTGAAAATGCTTTCAGACTTCACGTTAAGTACTCTCAAATATCAAAATATCTGTTTGAATCTTTCAACGTCGTTCATACCAATCGGAGAATAAGAATTGTATCAGTAGCATTGACCACAGACGGGCAGATATTCGTCGACCTATGTAAGAAACTGTTCGCAAATTAACTATTGAATACTCATTTAATATTAAGAAAACATTTGTATTTGTTATAATCAGAATTAAATTTATTTCCGCTCATCTCCGAATATAACTAGTATGTAACTAGTATGTAACTAGTTGAAACATAAGCCAACAAATACGAGTATTATAGCACATGGATTCAGTAAAATTCACAGTCACAAGCACGATTGTATGAGTGTTTACATGAATGTTAGATGTTATAAATCAGATCAACTGTAATTGAGCGTAAATAAACACATAAAACGCTGATATCTATATTATAGATAAAATATAAGTGTTACAATATAACGTTATATCAATAATACTAAAACAAACCGATTTTTTGCGGATCGAAACAACATAAAAGTGGTAGTCCCTCATATGATCGAATATTACTACCGCCAGGAAATACCGTTTTCTATCGTTCTATTTCATTAACAGAAACCAAAAATTTATTTGAAACATTCTTCGCTCAAGAACAACATTTAAGGCTTCCTCATTCCGGCGCGGAAGACCCGCAGTCTACGCGGAAAGACCGCAGCGGAAATTTCGCGTCACGTGTTGTCAAATGAGCACGTTCAGATCTCCGCATCAGGCGAGCGTCGCGGCCGTTTTCTTACCGGCGATTTGGAAACGCAGTCGGACGCGTTTCGACCGCTGCCGCTCTAGTTTCGTGGAAACCTGCCTGCCTTCAGGCTTCACACCTCTCTGGATCGAGCTCCCCTTGCTTTTGTTTATCGGATGAGGAAATATCGACCACACGCTGAGTCATAATTGACGCCCCGGTGTGAACGGTCGCACGGATTACGCCGCCGCGTCTAGCGCTGAGCGTTCCGCGTCGCACGAGCTGCGGATCTCCCGCACCGGATTTGATAGCCTTTATAAGCGAGACTGATCAATTAAACTGCTCAAAACCACCTCTCCACTACACTATGTACACTCTTTCTACCGAATATTCATTCCCCAACACAAAGCCGGGACAATGAGAGCGTGTACTGGGTGACACGCCCGGCCAAGACGTGAGAGGGAATGGCGGCGCGGGCGAGGGGGAGGCGGAGAGCGCGGGGGACGGGGGGATGGAGGCGGAGTACACGG